ATATTATATAGTATGTATGCAAAATTGGATTATATATGCATGTGTGTATAATGTGTATATTTATATATATGAAATCATACATTTAAGTAGCTTTGAATAGATTCAAATATATAAATATAACACATATTTATATAAAAAAAAAAAAAAGAAACTCACTCAAAACCACGCAACTACATGGAAACTAAACGACCTTATCCTAAATGACTACTGGGTAAATATTGAAATTAAGTCAGAAATAAATAAGTTATTTGAAACCAATGAGAATAAACACACAATGTAACAGAATCTTTGAGACACAGCTAAAGCAGTGTTTAGAGGGAAATTTATGGCACTTAATGCCCAAAGGAGAAAGCGGGAAAGATCTAAAATCAACATCCCAACATCACAATTAAAAGAACTAAAGAAGCAAGAGCAAATTCAAAAGCTAGTAGATGACAAGAAATAACTAAGATCAGAGCAGAACTGAAGGAGATAGAGACACGAAAAACCCTTCAAAAAATCAATAAATCCAGGAGTTGGTTTTTTTAAAGGACTAACAAAATAGATAGATTGCTATCCAGACTAATAAAAAAGAAAAGAGAAAAGAACCAAATAGACACAATAAAAATGATAGAGGGGATATCACCACTGATCCCACAGAAATACAAACTACCATCAGAGAATGCTATAAACATCTCTATGCAAATAAACAAGAAAATCTAGAAGAAAGGGATAAATTCCTGCACACATACACTCTCCCAAGTCTAATCCAGAAGGAAGTCAAATCCCTGAATAGACCAATAACAAGTTCTAAAATTGAGGCAGTAATTAATAGGCTACCAACCAAAAAAAGCCCAGGACCAGATGGATTCAGAGTCTAATTCTACCAGAGGTACAAAGAGGAGCTGGTACCATTCCTTCTGAAACTATTCCAAACAATAGCAAAAGAGGGAATTCTCCCTAACTCATTTTACGAGGCCAGCAACATCCTGATACCAAAACCTGGCAGAGACAAATCAACAGAAGAAAACTTCAGGCCAGTATCTCTGATGAACATCGATGTGAAGTCCTTAATAAAATGCTGGCAAATCTAATCCAGCAGCAGATCAAAAATCTTATCCACCATGATCAAATCAGCTTCATCCCTGGGATGCAAGGCCGGTTCAATATATGCAAATCAATAAGTGTAATTCATCACGTAAACAGAACCAATGACAAAAACCACAAGATTATCTCAATAGATGCAGAAGAGTCCTTCAATAAAATTCAACACCCCTTCATGCTAAAAATTCTCAATAAACTAGGTATTTATGGAACGTATCTCAATAAGAGCTATTTATGACAAACCCACAGCCAATATCATACTGAATGGGCAAAAGCTGTAAGTATTACCTTTGAAAACTGGCAAAAGACAAAGATGCCCTCTCTCACCACTCCTATTCAACACAGTATTGCAAGTTCTGGCCAGGGCAATCAGGCAAAAGAAAGAAATAAAGGGTATTCGAATAGGTATTTAAAAGAAGACATTTATGTGGCCAAAAAACATAAGAAAAAAGTTCATCATCACTGGTCATTAGAGAAATGCAAATCAAAACCACAATGAGATAGCATCTCATGCCAGTTAGAATGGTGAGCATTAAAAAGTCAGGAAACAACAGGTGCTGGAGAGGATGTGGGGAAATAGGAATGTTTTTACATTGTTGGTGGGAGTGTAAATTAGTTCAACCACTGTGGAAGACAGTGTGGCGATTCCTCAAGGATCTAGAACAGAAATACCATCTGATCCAGCATTCCCATTACTGGGTATATACCCAGAGGATTATAAATCATTCTACTATAAAGACATGTGCACATGTATGTTTATTGCAGCACTATTCACAATAGCAGACTTGGAACCAATCTAAATGTCCATCAATAATAGACTGAATGAAGAAAATGTGGCACATATACAGCATGGAATACTATGCAGCCATAAAAAAAAAAGATGAGTTCATATCCTTTGCAGGGACATAGATGAAGCCAGAAACCATCATTTTCAGCAAACTAACACAGGAACAGAAAATCAAACACCGCATGTTGTCACTCATAAATGGGAGTTGAACAATGAGAACACACAGACACAAGGAGGGGAACATCACACCCTGGAGCCTGTCAGGGGGTGGGGGACTAGGGGAGGGATAACATTAGGAGAAATATCTAATGTAGATGACAGGTTGATGGGTACAGCAAACCACCATGGCACATGTATACCTAAGTAACAAACCTACAGGTTCTCCATATGTATCCCAGAACTTAAAGTATAATAAAAAAATCAATCTTTAAGTATGCCTGCTTTATTGAGATTTGGAATCATGTTTATATCTCAAATGATGTGTTATTTCTCTGCATATTTCATTGAAATGCAATATAGCACAAGATATGCTTGTGTCTCTTCTATGGTAACATTGCCTGATTTATGGAAGTCTGCCAAAAATATTTAAATTCTATATGGCACTTTTAAAAATTACACTCAATGCCTTTCCAAATTTATTATATACAGAAAATATTAACCAGAACCCCAAGTTTTGTTGAAGTTTTGTTTTCATTCATATAATAGTAGCATACTAAATCTCTAGTTTAAAAAATATTCTTTATAACTGCCTATAGGAACTTCAAACTACTTGTGATGGTGTACTTTTTATATTTTACTCCCCACTATTACCTCTTGTGTCTATTTTTTAGGGAAACATCTTAATATTTATTCTTTACAATTCTCAACCTAATTATGTATATTATTTTCCTTGGAATACATTTTTATCAACCTACCTAATCCATGGCTTTAAATTCAGAGAATGGCACACTGAAAAATAGTCAATATGTGACTTTTCTCTTCAAGAGGCAGTTTTTCTTTCTTCAAGATTCTGAAAACTTTATTAGTCAAGCCATAATCATTCAAACATTATGAATAACTATTTCTAAAGCTAAGTAGTTTTGAAAAATTTTGGAGTCAAAAATATGTGTGTGTGTGTGTGTATATATATGCACATATATATGTATATATGCATATATACATATATATATGCATAGTGTGTGTGTATATATCTGCCCTGCGTCTGGCTTGGTATTATGTCATGGATCTTCCACATTCTACCAGGACTCACAGATATTGGCAGGGGCTGTGTAGAGTTTTCACATAATAACTTCATACCCTCAGAGGTGCTTTTTTAAAGTAAAGAACCATTAAAAGAAGACCGTTATTAACAGGCCTTTAATTTTATGAAAGGAAATTTTAAAGTTAAGGACTATAGTCCTTGCTCTTTATGACACCACAGACGGTTGAAGCTTTATCAAATTCTCACTTGCATCCCCTGGCTTCAGTATGTAAAAGATTATTCTGTCTTATATTTCTATATATTTTCATTTATTTCACATTATATAGTCCACATATTTATATGCTTGTTTTCTATTGCAAATTCTATGGATATATTATATGCATACTTCATATGTGTATATATCGTAACCTAATTGAACATTTATAGCAAGAGGGCTTTGAGGTTTGCTAATATAAATACATATTTCACAGCTCATTTCAAGTCCCATTTGTATAATTTCAAGCCACATTGATCTCTCACTTTCCTGACATATTCTGGAACCTACTGTCTGTATCACATATGTTAATATTTTATTATATTCAATTTAGCTTTTTGTTTTATATTGTGACCCCCATTTAACAAACAGGTGTGTGTTAAAAGCATGTAGGTTTATTAATAAAGACCCCCTTTTATGCATTTTGTCAAAAAAGTTATAAAATGGTCATTAGAGTTCCCAGAAAAATTATTTTACACATCTAACTGAAATGCTATATAACTGAGATGACAAATACTAAGAACATTATATTCTTACAGTGTTAATTAAAACAGAAACCACAAAGAACATTAAAGTCCTTTTTATGGGTTGATTCCAAGTCTTTGCTATTGTGAATAGTGCCACAATAAACATACGTGTGCATGTGTCTTTATAGCAGCATGATTTATAATCCTTTGGGTATATACCCAGTAATGGGATGGCTGCGTCATATGGTACATCTAGTTCTAGATCCTTGAGGAATCGCCATACTGTTTTCCATAATGGTTGAACTAGTTTACAATCCAAATGTCCATCAGTGACAGACTGGATTAAGAAAATGTGGCACATATACACCATGGAATACTATGCAGCCATAAAAAAGGATGAGTTTGTGTCCTTCGTAGGGACATGGATGCAGCTGGAAACCATCATTCTTAGCAAACTATCACAAGAACAGAAAACCAAACACCACATGTTCTCACTCATAGGTGGGAACTGAACAATGAGATCACTTGGACTCGGGAAGGGGAACATCACACACTGGGGCCTATCATGGGGAGGGGGGAGGGGGGAGGGATTGCATTGGGAGTTATACCTGATGTAAATGACGAGTTGATGGGTGCTGACGAGTTGATGGGTGCAGCACAGCAACATGGCACAAGTATACATATGTAACAAACCTGCACGTTATGCACATGTACCCTACAACTTAAAGTATAATAATAATAAAAAATAAAAATAAAATTTAAAAAAAGTCCTTTTTATGAAAAATTGAATGCTGGTGTTTAAGAGAAAATGAACTAAAATTAAAGGACATGTAAAAGTAGTAGTTGGCAACATGGGAATTGTTAAGAAACTTCTGGGCAAGCAGATAATGGCATTTATTGGCCATATATAATTTCACTTCTAAATCTAACACTTTATTTTAGACTTAATACCAACACTACCTTTTACTGATGAATGATGTCAAAGGTTTTTTTCTCTCCTGAGGTTCACAGATTAGACAGAAATGTGGGAATTATGCAAGCGTTGAAAGACCAAACAATTAAGATGGTATGTAAGAAAAATCTTGTCGGTGGTAGAATTAACTAAGCAATAAAAATAAATACAGAAAACAACAGGGTACAGAGTGAATTAGGTTAGGGGATGAATTGGAAAAAAAAAATCTGAAGTCAATTCTTTGTTTTGGCCACCAGATGATAACATCAGGCCCAAGAGTTAGGGTGGATGACTATGTGCAGGGCACAAGTCAGAACTCGGGAAATACCTACATTGATCGCCTTATTTGTTTTATTTCTAAACGCCCTTCCTTAGAAGAAAAACTTACCTTTGCAACTTCAGGGCAGGCAGGTGGATGGCAAAGGAAAGATACTGTACATTCCTCACAATCACAGAACAAGCAAATCACAAAATAGATGCTCAATATATAATAACATAATAAACATTTACAAAATAACTTCATATAGTGATAGTAAGGATTAAATGAGCTAATGCATGAATAATGCTTAGAACAGTACCTAGCATGTTGTAAGAGAGCAATATGTGTTATCTATTACTATTATTACTACTGCTACTATTTTAATTATTTGCTTTCTTTGATTAAAACTCCTGCAATACTCTCAGAAGTCATGTGTAAACAAAATAAGCATGCATCTATTCCTATGAGTTAAAAAGATGAAATTTGACTGCCCAACCTAATTAGAGGTTGTCTTATTGTAGATGTCCAGCTTTAAACTGGCCTAGACAGTTTAAACTGGTGTCCTGGTATCTAGTCATCTAGACACCACTGTTGCAATACAGCATATCACTAATTATTCACAAATGTTGACTCATCTCGAGAGATATTCCAAATGGTCTTCTTGTCCTCAGTACTGGACACAACAAGTATGTCTGAATTTTACCTTCAGATATGAAGCTCTGTTTTGTGTTTCATCTTGTGGGGTTTTTTTCAGGGCAGAGGAGTTGATCTTTCTATGTCAATGCACCCATTTTATTTTAAGTTCTGGGGTACATGTACAGGATGTGCAGGTTTGTTACATAGGTAAACACGTACCATGGTGGTTTGCTGTACCTATCAACCCATCACCTAGGTATTAAGCACTGCAAGTATTAACTATTTTTCCTGATGCTCTCCACCCCACCCCACCCTTTCTCTCTCGACAGGCCCCAGTGTGTGTTGTTCCCCTCCCTGCGTCCATGTGTTCTCATTGTTCAGCTCCCACTTATAAATGAGAACATCCATGTTTGGTTTTCTGTTCCTGCGTTAGTTTGCTGAGGATAACGGCTTCTAGCTTCATCTGTGTCCCCACGAAGGACATGATCTCATTCCTTTTTATGGCTGCATAGTATTCCATGGAATGCACCCATTTTTATTTTATTTATTTATTTATTTATTTAAGACAGGGTCTCACTCTGTCACTCAGGCTGGAGTGCAGTGGTGTGATCTCAGCTCACTGCAACCTCCATCCCCAGGGTTCAAGTGATCCTCCCACCTCAGCCTCCATAGTAGCTGGGACCACAGGCACACAGCACCACACCTGGCTAATTTTTCATATTTTTAGTAGAGACAGGGTCTCACTATGTTACCCAGACTGGTCTCAAACTCCTGAGCTCAAGCAGCTCACCCACCTTGGCCTCCCACAGTGCTGGGATTACAAGCATGAGCCACTGTACCCAGCTAATGCACCCATTTTCAATGACTTTATTATGTTAAATTTTACTTGGGTGGGGGATTATCTGGTCTTATTAATGGATATTAAATTTCATCTAAATGTCCATTGATCCAATTGTACTCTTCTCCTTGAGCACCTTGAGATCCCCATAATTAGTGAGTCCAAATATTATTCAGAAAGATAATAATTTTTCATAAAATAATAGAAAAGGAAGTCATTAAAAAATTATTTCTAGATTATGTTGGTTCAAGTTAACCCTGGGGAGACCCATACCATCAAGTCTGATGATGAGAATATTCAGAATATTCAAGGTCAGTTAAAGCGTAATTAGGCATGTGTTACTTGATATCAAATAGAGTGAAATTAAATATTAATGTGAAATGACTTTACTGTAGCCCACTTACTGTTTGAGACAGATTAAATGCTCCTAAATATAATCCTCATAGGAGGTTAGTATCAATAGAATAACCCGGGCTAATCATGCTAATCTTACTAGAGACCTACAAAAGTAAAGTACTTTTAAAAACTGAAGGAGATTAATTCCAAAATTCTATTTGAAGTCCAGATTTTGGAGATATTGATAGCTGATTATAGTTGTAGACTATTCTCCTATAGGAGATGATTGCTAAGGCCTTCAGACAGCTCATTCATTCATACATTCAACAAGTATTTACTCAGTGTCTAGCATGTACCAGCCCTCTACTGGACACTTAGGATACAACAATGTGTAGAAGGGGTGATTATACAGACATACACTCACACACACACACACTCTATAGATAGGTAGATAGCAAATATATAGCATGTAGACTTGCTTCAGTAGTAATATAAAATTCATAAATACTTGCTTCATATAAGCTTTATTATTTCAATGAGATGACTGTTTTACACCAATTATTTTGTATCCTAAAGTGATTTTGAGCTGTCTCAAGAATTTCTAAAAACATTATCACCTACCAATGGATTTCGTATTGCTGCTATACAAAATTTATCACGAATTCATATTTATTATTTTCCCATTATTCAAAGTAAATTACCATTCTAGGACTTGAAAGCCACATATATTTCTAGAACTAAGCATTAATTATAATAACTTCAGATAAACAAAAGAATTACAACATTAAAAGTCTCCATTCCGTGTTGTATTTTAGATACTATGCAATCATATGTTTAAGATACTAAAAATACGTAGTATGAAAGTAGGGCATCACATGAGTATTATTGGGTCCTTCTTTATAACATACTGTTTTCTAAAAACCACTTTAGTATATTTGATGGAAAGCCTTAAATGAAAATTTAAGTTTTATTAGGCAATGTCACTGTAAGAAATGTATGTTATGTTACAGAGTAAACTTTTTATTATCCAATATATGACCATGATAGGTGAGAAACAATAGATAAGTAAAGGTACAATTATACCAGAAGGCTGGTATGATAGTTGATTTTCATTAGCAGTAGGAATTACCAATATTTTTTATAGTTTAAATTTAAACCATGCCTTAGTTATTCTCCCATTAGTTGTGATTAATTTTCATCAATTCATCTACACTCTGACTCATGCTTGTGAGTAAACAACACATATTTTCAAAATAGCTGACGATTATTAAAGCTTGGAGCTGGTTTTGATTGTACAAAGTTAACTGACTCCTGTAAAGGCCTTTGTTTAATGTTATTACAGTATTTATTAAAATAATTCTCTTTTAGGATCAACTGATGTTCCTCTGATGTCACCACCTGGTAAAATAGCTATTATTAAAGCTTGGAGCTGGTTTTGACTGTACAAAGTTAACTGACTCCTGTAAAGGACTTTGTTTAATGTTATTACAGTATTTATTAAAATAATTCTCTTTCAGGATCAGCTGATGTTCCTCTGATGTCACCACCTGGTACTTTGCCATCAATCTATCTCCCTCCTGGCTACATGTCTCAGGTATGCTCATGTGGTTTTTACTTGATGTTTAGCTCTATCATTTAACATTTTTCATTATGTCACTATATAAGATAACTTCTGGCATGTTATTTATTTATTTATTTTACTGTTATCATCATTGCTAAAAGCCATTGCATTTAACCAAACCAGTCCTCTTTTAGATTGCCTTATAAACGATGTTTAATTCGTCCAGTGAATTTGGATCTCTTAATATTCACTAATCTTCCTTTTTTTTTTTTTTTTGGTTTTTCAGTATTTTCACCCATCTTATCTATCAAAATTGCTACACTAATGGCTTCTGATAATGTGTGTGCTTTAGTCCCTAAAATTACTTTGCATTTTCAGTTCAGAAGTATTTCATTCCCAGACTGCTAGGGGCACTTTTAAGAAATTCCATAAATATTTGCCAAGTGCCTAAAATGAGCAGGAAGCTATAACTCCTATAAAGATTAATAAGATATTCCATAGCCTAGGAAATTTTTATAATTGAAAATATGACTTTTTCTGCTTCTTCATAGTGTTTACCTTCGTGGCTTATTTCGTTGTGTTTATTGCACAGCTGTGGATATGAATAACATGCTAAATAAATAAATTTAATGTGGTTTAATTCTTAATGGAATTATCTATTGGGCAATATCTAATGAAAATACAAATGCATAATCCTTTCACCCACCAATTCCACGTTAAGAAATTTATCCTACAGATATATTTTCACAAATTTGGAATGAAAAATATACAAGATTATTCATTACAATACTGTTTATAACCACAAAAGGCTGAAAACAGCCCACATGCTTGTCAATGGGTGACTGTATAGTACATCCACATAAGGGAGCACTCTTTGGCTATGCAAAAAATAATAATAATAATAGAGAAGCTCTATCTACTTTGATACAGAGAGTCCTTCAAGATTAACGCTGAGTTCAAGTTACAAAGTCGTACAATTCTACCTTTTATGTAATAAAAAATAAAGGAAAAATAAGAATATGCATTCTTATTTGCTTGTACAGGTATAAAGAAATTCTGGCCGGGCGCGGTGGCTCAAGCCTGTAATCCCAGCACTTTGGGAGGCCGAGACGGGCGGATCACGAGGTCAGGAGTTCGAGACCATCCTGGCGAACACGGTGAAACCCCGTCTCTACTAAAAAATACAAAAAACTAGCCGGGCGAGGTGGCAGGCGCCTGTAGTCCCGGCTACTCGGGAGGCTGAGGCAGGAGAATGGCGTAAAAACCCGGGAGGCAGAGCTTGCAGTGAGCTGAGATCCGGCCACTGCACTCCAGCCTGGGCGACAAAGCGAGACTCCGTCTCAAAAAAAAAAAAAAAAAAAGAAATTCTGGAAGGATTCATAAGAAACTAAGAACAGTAGTTATCTGTTGGGAAGGTATTGAACAGATAGGGTTACTTTTTTTTTTTTTTTTAGACTGAGTCTCGTTCTGTTGCCCAGGCTGGAATGTAGTGGCATGATCTCGGCTCACTGCAAACTCCACCTCTCGGGTTCAAGCGATTCTCCTGCCTCAGCCTCCCGAGTAGCTGGGATTACAGGCGCCCGCCATGGCGTCCGCCACCACACCCGGCTAATTATTGTTTTGTTTTGTTTTGTTTTTTTAGTAGAGAGGGGGTTTCACCGTGTTGGCCAGGTTGGTCTCAAACTCCTTACCTCAGGTGATCCGCCCACCTCGGCCTCCCAAAATGCTAGGATTACAGGCTTGAGCCATGGCACCCTGCTGGGAAACTTTTAATCATATGCTTCTTTATACTTTATGGTTTTGAACCATGTCAATATATTATCTATTGTCAAAAAATAACCTCTTTTCTGTAGCCCCAGCTATTCGGGAGGCTGAGGCAGGAGAATGGAGTGAACCCGGGAGGCGGAGCTTGCAGTGAACCGAGATCTCGCCACTGCACCCCAGCCAGGGCGACACAGCGAGACTCCGTCTCAAAAAAAAATAAAATAAAATAAAATAGAATAAAATAAAATTTAAATTTAAAAATATAACCTCTTTAAAAGCAATACATGTGGGGAAAAAGAAGAATTACCTTGCCTCCTGCTTGACATTATAGTTTCACTTGAAAATTGTTTTTTGTTTCTAAATTAAAAGCATATAATATAAATACAAAGTTTAATAGAGCAAAATGCTGACTTTTATGGATTCTAATATTTTTATATTATTCTTTCTTCCATCTTAGGTAGTAGAAGAAAATGGGATTCGCAAAATTATCATTGTTCTCAGACAACTATCACACATCCATGCCTGCACCTATACAAGTAACACACTTTATAACACCATCCTCTCCTTTATATCCACAAGCCCCTCAGCTTATGTATCCCTCAGCTCAAGAGGAATTTCCACCACCTACATCCAAGAGTCTGTGCCATAGCAGCTGTGGCCGCCACCACCACCGCCACCACTCTCGCCACTACCAGCAACGTGTATATACCAAGAACATCATGGAAGTATATAATTTTCTTAAACAGGAAATATTTTGAGTTTGTTAAAATCAGCAACCTTGGATAATTATTAAAATGAAAAGAGGAAGACAGTAACACTTCCATAAATGATTGCATTTAATGCATTTATATTAGGATTGATGACAATCCCTAGGCAAAACGCTCGTGCATAAGCATTTTGTCTAAAGTTTACATCTTGGGCAAATGTTCTATAAATTCAAATTTTCCTTAAGTGTTTGCTGTACTTTGACGTAGTATGTAATTTGTGGTATTTATTTTTACTTACTGGATCTATAATATCAGATTGAACAATTATTAAAAATGTTTTGATTGTTAATGCCATATACTAAAAATACAAAATACACTAGAAGCTCAAATTTAGATTTAAGAACGTAAAACTTGGAAGTAAAGTTACTACCTAGGAAAACACTGTATTTACTCATGTTTCTCTATCTGTACCTATCAATGCATTATAAATGTGCGCATGCATACACACACATACCCCCCTAATGCCTGTATTAAAGCAAAGTAAAAATATTTTAAAGCGAAGCATGGCTTATCAATGTTCTTTTGTTGACTAGATTTGAAAAAGAAAAAAGAAAAAAAAAGACCTTGCCAGGCATTGTGGCTCATGCCTGTAATCCCAGCATTTTGGGAAGTCAGGGCAGGAGGATCCCGTGAACCCAGGAGTTCAAGATTACAGTTAGCTATGACTGAGTCACTGCACTCCAGCCTGGATGACAGAGTGAGACCCTGTCTCTAAAAACAAAAGCTTTGAGATATGTAATTATTATAATTATTAAACAGTATTCCATTGTCTCTTTTAGAAACCTATTCCCATGGAATAGCAAATTATAACCAACTCAGTGAAAGAGCTGCTAAAATGGGAGAACATATGAAGAAAAAAACTAGACAAGTTGGTGGACAAAAGAATAGCTATGTGGCTAACAACACTTCTTTGCTTGCGAACAAAACTAATGATTTTTTCAATATTTCTGGTACTCCAAGCACTGTTAACTATGCTCCAAGCACCTACACTGTTGACAATACTTTGAGCACCTACACTGTGAAAAATACTTTGAACGCTTACACTGTGGACAATACTTTGAACGCTTACACTGTGGACAATACTCCAGGTACCTACACTGCAAGCAATGTAAATGTTTACACTGGCAGTACTCCCAGTACTTACACTGTTCACAGCCCTCCAAGCACTAACATTGCTGACAAAACTCCCAGAAATTCTTCCATTGACCATGTCCCTAGCATTTCCATCTCAGACACTACTCTGAGCCCTGCTACCTCTGATGGCATTCTGAACCCTTCTAGCACTAATCATACTCCCAAGACTGCCACCTCTGACAGAAATCACAGATCATCTGATAGTACTCCCAAACCATCAAGTATTGACAGTACTCCAAGCTCTTCTATTTCTCACAGTGCTCCCAACACTTTCATCTCTGAAAATGCTCCCAGCACTTCTGACATTGATAATGCTCTCAATACTTCCAACACTGCCAGTGCTGAGATTGAGACTAGACATAGAAAGAAACAGAGTGCTATAGGAGGTGAAGAAATCAAGCAGAAACCAAGTGGAAAACAAAACAAGTGACCATCACCAAATGCTGCAGATAAAGGTAAGATCAGGAGTTTGGTTTTCTTGCCAATAAACAAACATCTTAATGGTTAGGAATCTCAGTCCATTTTTAATATTAAGGTGTCATTTTCTACTTTCATTTCCTCTTTTCTTCTTTGTACCCTTAAGTTTAAATTCTTTTCTAAATTAATACTTCTAAACTAATACAAATCACAAATATATACAATTTATAAGGTACAATGTGATGCTTTGACATATGCAAAAAATGCAGAACGCTTAAATCAAGCTAATTTACATATTTGTCACCACACTTACCTATCATTTTTATGGTAAGATATTTGAAATTTGTCGATTTAATTATTTCAAAATATGCAACACAATATTGTTGACTATAAGCACCCTGGTGTACAGATCTTAAACATTTTGCATCCTTTCATCAACAACTCCCCATTCACTCCCTCCTACCCTCCAGCTTCTAGTAACCATCATTCTACTGTCTACTTCTATGAGTTCAACTTTATTAAATTTCACATGAGTGAAATCATGCAGCATTTGTCTTTCTGTGCCTGGTTTATGTTACTTAGCATAATGTCCTAGAGATTCATCCATTTTGTGGCAAATCACAGAATTTCCCCCCCTTAAGGGCAAAATAATATATGAAACCATGATTATGCTGCTTTTTATTATTTTTCTCTTTTAAAAACATTTTAGATTCGAGGGGTATAAGTTCAAGTTTGTTACATGGATATATTGCATAATGATGAGGTTTGGGCTTCCAGTGTACCCATCACCCAAATAGTGAACATTATACACAATAGGTAATTTTTAAATAATTACAACTTTTACTTTAGATTCATGGAGTCCATGTACAGATTTGTTACATGATTATATTGTGTGATGCTGAGGTTTGGGGTTCGAATGATCCCATTACCCAGGTAGTCAGTATAGTACCCAACAAGTACTTTTTCAACCCTTGCCCCCTCCCTTCTTCTCCCCTCTAGTAGTCCCCAGTGCCTATTGTTCCCATCTTTATGTCCACATGTACCCAATGTTTAGCTCCCACTTATAAGTGAGAACATGCAGTATTTGGTATTCTGTTCCTGCATTAATTCACTTAGGATAATGGCCTCCATCTCTATCCATGTTGCTGCAAAGGACATTATTTTATTTTTTATGGTTTCATAGTATGCCGTTGTATATATGTACCACATTTTCTTTATGCAGTCCATCACTGATGGGCATCAAGGTTGATTCCATTTATTTGCTATTGTGAATGGTGCTGTAATGAACATACAAGTGCACGAATCTTTTTGATAGAAAGATTTATTTTCCTTTGGGTATATACCCAATAATGAGATTGCTGAGTCAAATGGTGGTTCTGTTTTTAAATTCTGTGAGACATCTCCAAACTGTTTTCCATGGTGGTTAAACTAATTTACATTCCTACAAACAGTGTATGAGTGTTCCCTATTCTCCACAGGCTTGCCAGCCTCTGTTGTTATTTGACTTTTTAATAATAGCCATTCTGACTATTATTACGGTATCTCATTGTGGTTTTGATTTGCTCTTTTCTGACATTACTGATGTGAAGGACATTTTAATGTTTCTTAGCCACTCGTAAGTCTTCTTTTCAGAAGTATATATTCATGTATTTTGTGCACTTTTTAATGGGGTTATTTTTTGCTTACTGAATTGTCTAAGTTCCTTATAAATTCTGGATATTAGAGCTTTGTCAGATGCATAGTTTGTGAATATTTTCTTTCATTCTATAGGTTGTCTGTTTACTCCCTTGATATCTCTTTTGCTACATAGAAGCTCTTTCATCTATTTGGTTCACATTTGTCAATTTTTGGTTTTGTTGCAATTGCTTGTGAGGACTTAGTCATAAATTATCTGCCAAGGCTGATATCCAGAATGCTGTTTCCTAAGTTTTCTTCTAGGATTTTTATAGTTTCAGTTCTTACATTGAATCTTTGATCCATCTTGAGTTAATTTTTGTACATGGAATAGATAGGGGTTCAGTTTCATTCTTTTGCATACAGCTAGCCAAATATCCCAGCACCATTTACTGAATAGAGAGACTTTCTCCATTGCTTTTTTTTCCAACTTTGTCAAAGATAAGATGGCTGTAGAGGTGTGACTTTTATATCTAAGTTATCTATTCTGTTCCACCAGTAGGTAATATTTAATCCCCTACCAACCCCCCTTTTGGAGTCCCCAGTGTCTATTACTTCCATCTTTATGTCCATGAGTACCCATTGTTCAGCTCCCACTTGTAAGTGAAAACATGCAATATTTTATTTTCTGATTCTGAATTATTTCACTTACGATAATGGACTTCAGCTCCATTTATGTTGCTGCAAAAGACATTATTTCATTCTTTTCATAGCTGCATAGTATCCCATGGTATATATATACCGCATTGTCTTTTTCCAACCATCTGCTAAGGTTGATTCCATAACTTTGCTGCTGTGAATAGTGCTGCAAGAAACATAAAGATGCTGATGTTTTTATGTAATAATTTTTTCCCATGGGTAAATCCCCAGTAGTGGGATTGCTGGGTCAAATAATAGCTTTATTTTTATTTCTTTGAGATATCTCCATACTATTTTCCAAAGAGGTTGTACTAATTTACATTCTCACTGACAGCAAATGAAGGTTGCCTTTTCTCCACATCAATACCAACATCTGATATTTTGTGACTTTTCAATAATAAACATTTGGACTTGTGTGGGATGATATCTCATTGTGGTTTTAATTTGCATTTGTATGATGATTAGTGGCACTGAGTGATATATATATAATAAATATACTATATATATAATAATATTATATGTATAATATTTATATATATAAAGTTCTGGGATACATGTGCAAAACGTGGTTTGTTAAATACGTATACACATGCCATGGTGGTTTGCTGTACCCATCAAACCACCATCTACATTAGGTATTTCTCCTAATGCTATCCCTGCCCAAGCCCCCCATTCCCCAACAGGCCCTGGTATGTGATGTTCCCCTCCCTGTGTCTATGTGTTCTCATTGTTCAACTCCCACTTATGAGTGAGAACATGCAGTGTTTGGTTTTCTGTACCTGAGTCAGTTTGCTGAGAATGATGGTTTCCAGCTTCATCCATGTCCCTGCAAAGGACATAAACTCATCCTTTTTTATGGCTGCATAGTATTCCATAGTGTATATGTGCCACATTTTCTTTATCCAGTCTATCATTGATGGGCATTTGGGTTGGTTCCAAATCTTTGCTATTGTGAATAGTGCTGCAATAAACATACGTGTGCATGTGTCACTATAGTAGAATGATTTACAATCCTTTGGGTATATACCCAGTAATGAGACTGCTAAGTCAAATGGTATTTCTGGTTCTGTATCCTTGAGGAATCACCACACTGTCTTCCACAATGGTTGAACTAATTTACACTCCCACCAACAGTGTAAAAGCATTCCTGTTTCTCCACATCCTCTCCAGCATCTGTTGTTTCCTGACTTTTTAGTGATTGCCATTCTATCTGGCATGAGATGGTATCTCATTGTGGTTTTGATTTGCATTTCTCTAACAACCAGTGATGATGCACTTTTTTTCATCTTTGTTGGCTGCATAAACGTCTTCTTTTGAGAAGTGTCTGTTCATATCCTTCACTCACTTTTTGATGGGTTTTTTTTCTTGTAAATTTGTTTAAGTTCTTTGTAGATTCTGGATATTAGCCCTTTGTCAGATGGGTAGATTGCAAAAATTTTCTCCTATTCTGTACATTGCCTGTTCACTCTGATGATAGTTTCTTTTGCTCTGCAGAAGCTCTTTAGTTTAATTAGATCCAATTTGTCAATTTTGGCTTTTGGTGCCATAGCTTTTGGTGTTTTAGTCATGAAGTCTTTGCCCATGCCTATGTCCTGAATGGCATTGCCTAGGTTTTCCTCTAGGGTTTTTATGGTTTAAGGTATTACATTTAAATCTTTAATCCACCTTGAGTTAATTTTTGTAGAAGGTGTAAGGAAGGGGTCCAGCTTCAGTTTTCTGAATATGGCTAGCCAGTTTTCACAACACCATTTATTAAATAGGGAATCCTTTCCCCATTGCTTGTTTTTGTCAGGTTTGTCGAAAATCAGATGATTGTAGATGTGTGGCATTATTTCTGAGGCCTCTCTTCTGTTCCATTGGTCTATATATCTATTTTGGAACCAGTATCATGCTGTTTTGTTTACTGTAGCCTTTTAGTATAGTTTGACGTCAGGTAGCATGATGCCTCCAGCTTTGTTCTTTTTCCTTAGGATTTCCTTGGCTATACAGGCTCTTTGTTGGTTCCATATGAAATTTAAAGTAGTTTTTTCTAATTCTGTGAAGAAAGTCAATGGTAGCTTGATGGGGATAGCATCGAATCTATAAATTACTTTGGGCAGTATGACCATTTTCACGATATTCATTCTTCCTATCCATGAGTATGGAATGTTTTTCCATTTGTTTGTGTCCTCTCTTATTTCCTTGAGCAGTGGTTTGTAGTTCTCCTTGAAGAGGTCCTTCACATCCCTTGTAAGTTGTATTCCTAGGTATTTTATTCTCTTTGTAGCAATTGCGAATGGTAGTTTACTCATGATTTGACTCTCTGTTTATCTATTATTGGTGTATAGGAATGCTCATGATTTTTGCACATTGATTTTGTATCCTGAGATTTTGCTGAAGTTGCTTATCAGCTTAAGGAGATTTTGGGCTGAGACTATAAGGTTTTCTAAACATACAATCATGTCATCTGCAAACAGAAACAATTTGACTTTCTCTTTTCCTATTTGAATGCCCTTTATTTCTTTATCTTGCCTCATTGCCCTGGGCAGAACTTCCAATACTATGTTGAATATTGGCCCCCACCCTCTTCTGGTTTGTAGGGTTTCCGCAGAGAGATCTCCTGTTAGTCTCATGGGCTTCCCTTTGTGGGTAACCCCACCCTTCTCTCTGGCTGCCC